GTTTTATAACAATTTATATTAAGTTGAGAATAAAAGATAAGTAATAAACCTGTTGCTCCGACGCTGCTCATCCCCAATTAAAATGGCCTATCAACATGATTAATGTCATTCTCAATTTCCTTTATTATTTTCAAAACATACATTTAAGAAATAAATAACAAGTTTAAAAACTTCAATGGGAATTGAAGTGGGTCGGTCACGTGATCAAATCCTGTGAAGGCCGAAGGCCTTCTCAGAAGATTTGATCACGTACCGACCCACTTCAATTCCCATTGAAGTTTTTAAACTTGTTATTTATTACTTATATATACATTTGAGACGGACAATCGAATGTAATCGAATATAAATATTGCACTAACTGTACGTCGTAGATTTTGACAAATTACGCTAGGTGTAAATCGGCTTGAAAAGCGGTTACGCTTCAAATTCATCTGGCAAAGGATTCTGTTTTGAAGGGAATATTCTATGAAAGGCTACTTGTGATCAATTATAGTGAGCATATTGGTGTCTTGGAATTTTTGTATTCTTGAGAACCCACATTCGATGTTAAAAAACACAAGAAACACGTCCGATGTTTGATACTAAAAAGTTGGAGGAATTTCGGTCGGGAAGGGATGGATGGAGACACTTGTCCGGACCAGATAACTTGAAATCAAAATTTGATGAAAAACATAAAATCTACGATTTCAGTAAGGCATATTTATTAATTTATGATGTTGACATGGAGACACTGGTGACAGCTTACATTGTTAAGACAACGTCACAACGATCTCGATGATGGAGGTGTGCCTACCGAACTTCCAAAGTGCAGTGTTTGTCAGCTCTTTGTGGCGTGATTACATTACATTGATATTTTTCAACAGATTTTCAAATTTATTGTGAGTAAAGTTTAATGAAAAAAAATTATAACATTCAGAGGTCTGCGAGAAAAATAAGGGTAAACGTTGAGACTATGCAGCTCAGACATGAAACTTATAACACGTAGTTTTCTATTCTCTATGTAAAATCGATCAAGAACTGTATTAAACACTCGTTTACATTGTAAATAAAATGATTATTATTTTACTTGCATATTTTGTACATTTTTATGCATGAAAAACATGCTATATTGCTTAGTGGAGTAAGTCTTTTTATGTAGATATTACTGCGCTATGTGATTAGGTCACATAATGACCTATGACCTTCGAAAAACTTCATACAGGTATGAAGATATTTGCTCTCTGCATGTTTATATAATAGAGAGATACCACAAATGTATATATTTCATCTTAAATAACAAAACAATGAATTTAAGTGTTACCTAATTTACCATACTAAATTAACAGCAATTAAACCGATTACATCTTTGATTAACATGAAAAACGGAAATAAAGTCAATACTGACGGAAAGGAAATATACTAAATACTTTACTAGTTTTATTTGATAAAAAAAAATTAACAATAATGATGACCATTGGACTGTTTCACGATAACTGCGGTACTGCTCTTTTGCAGGGCAAAATGATATATTTTGGTGAAATATGACGTAAAATTAATTGTTTAATATACGTCATTTAATTATCTGTCATCAAAAACTTTGCCAAATGTTGTTATTTTGCCCTGCAAAAGAGTAGTACCGCAGTTATCGTGAAAGGGCTATATTAGGCAAACGGGATATATGGCGAGAATTATCGAACGGACCCTGCGCGAATGGACTCATGCGAACAGGTTAGATAGGGCGAACGGACCCGATACCTTCCCACACCCTGGTCGTAAATTTTTTTTATTTATGATCACAGTCAAACTGTTTAGAAAACTCTGTATGAAAAAATTGTGTAGCACTATTTTTAGGAATGGAGCAAATGGCGAAAATGCAATGTGGAAAAGCCACAATATTACTGATCTAGAAATATTTGTAACAGGAACCTAATTATCATAAATATGCGTTATATTCAATCGCTCTACTACTAGCTGCTTAATAATAATAATAAGATACTTACAGCTCATTTTCCCACTGCTAAACGCCGCCATTGTCCTCCCACAATGCATTGCGTGTATCACTAAACCGTATTGTGGGATATTCCAATTGACATTTATAGATACACAAAATGTTGAAAGCGAGGGACTTAGACCGACTGTTCTAAAAATAGATTTTGCGTTGTGGGACATTTTTCTATATATCCTTATGGGTCAAAAAAAAATTTTTTTTGGTTTTTGATGATAATTGTATCATTTTAAACATTTCTGTGAAATTTAGACTACATGGTTTATGGGTCAAAATATAGATGACCCATAAACCACCTATGGATCCCACAACGTGAGTCTGAGATACGTGAAATATCCCATAACACGCCTGTTGTATAACTATATATATATATATATATATATATATATATATATATATATATATATATATATATATATATATATATATCGATATATCTAATTGTCGAGTTGATATTGTCAATCAGAAACTCAAGCATCTTTTGAATATCTACTTCAGAGTACTTGTGTATACAATCAGAATGTTTTTTAACAAAATAATTTTGCAAATGACCGATGACAAGGTGTAAATGTTCCATTTTTTTTGGAAAAAGCAGCTGTCTATATGATGTCAAAAAGCCTGAATTTTAATTTATCGTGGGGAATGGTTGCATAGATGTCACTGTAAAGGGCTTCAAATTTAGACTTACTGAGTATATTCGGCACTCAGGGCCATTAAGCAGTGAGTGTTCTTTATCGTGCAAACTTGACACGGGACCTCGATTTTTAAGGCCTCATAGAAAAAGACCCATGACTTTCACTTCTAATGCTGAGGTCGCCCGCGTGGCGCAGTGGTTAGAGCATCTTCTCTAGAGTCGCGGAGTAAGAAGTTGATCCTTACTCGAACCCACTGCGGGACGTGGAGGCCGGTCCTTCTGATGAGACCATATAAACCGAGGTCCCGGCACGTAAAAGATCCCTCACTGCTCAATGGCCCTGAGTGCCGAGCATAGGTCAAAATTTGTAGCCCTCCACCGGCAAGTGAAGGCGTCTCCATATGAGTGAAAAATTCTCAAGAGGGACGTTAAACAACAAACAATCAATCTAATGCTGCACGCTTAGCGAAAGAACAACTACTACCTATGTTTATGCCTAAGGCTTGACGCTGCAAACGAGTATCGAATCCGGCCACCCGATCACGAAGCGAGCGCCCTACCACTAGGCTACCGTGACCAATAGTATCAGAGTTGATAGGTCTTGAAGACAGCAAGAATAGATGATGAAATTCATATAAATGGCCACGTGTCAAGAACATTTTCAAAATGATGACAATTTGGTCAGTATATGTGAAACGGTATCTTATTCTTGTACCTGTCTCTCCGAAAGTAGTAGTATTTGCGGCGGAGTTCAATCTAATCATCCGGTTATTTGCAGGGATATCAGTTTCAATTGACCAAGTCAAAAATTAAGTTCGATTCGGCCTGCTGATGCACATGTTAAACGGATACGTTATGATACATACTATGATTTCACTTTTCAGTCTTTTTAAGAAAGGTATTAAAACCTACAGACTTCCCGAGTTTCAGAGTTTTTACTGCGAAGTTTGTTACACCGATATTGATCTCACTGGTCAGAGCACTATTCTGTGTAAATTATGATCCTGGTTTCAGTTGCAGAAATTCATTTTTTATTTTTTGGCAATATTTTCCATTTCCTTTCGCAGTCGTTCTAGCTTAGAGATCAAGGAACTATTTCTTTGACATTTAATAGCTTAAAGGACATAAAGCTTGAAATCTTTAACGTCTCAGGATGTCATTCATTCTGTGAGAAACCTCTACGTTTTTAATATGACACTATCAATAACGTATTTATTTGCTCTAGTTCCATTGTCGTTAATTTCTTTCCAAAAGTCCTTGAGATTTAGGATGTTCCATATTTTGATCTTGTGCAGTTATGTAATTTTATCTCTCTGTTTGTAGCACACTTCTGTCAATCTTTTGCTATTCTTATACTGAGTATATATTTTAAACTGATAAGTTCATGTTTTCCACCTTGACGCCGTATTCGTTTTCTGATGTACGAATATTAATCTTGGTGAATTTCCGAAGTTCACCGTTCTGATATAAGTCTAGTTGTATTCTTATTTCCTTTTTAGCGGTATGTTATTTTTTTTTCTCTGTGTAGTGCCTGAAATAACTGGTGATATAAATCATCTATTTCACCCTTTCCTTCCTGAAAATTTGGACTGCTCTTAGAATTCTTGAAGAGCTTTCAATGTTGGTTACTGGTAAAAATATCACTGTTGTTGCTAAGGGCATAACGCTATCATTGTATTCAGGAATCAATGTATTCAGTAATTTTCCTAGGGCAAGTCAAAACTATGTTATTTTAGGGGTAATTGCTCCAACTGCAGTAGGATTTGATAATCACATTATTCGTTTCACTTCAAAATTCATTCATTATCAAATAGTTATAAATAACCAGGAACAAAACAATATGTTGACCGTAAGAAGACTAATTAAGGCTGAAATATACATCAGATGCAGCATGCGAAACAGATGTCAGTTTTGTTTTAATACCACTTGTGATAAGAATGCATTTATAAGAGTTGAACTTTATAAAATGGTGAATATAACGAACACTAATCATTCTCCAAAAGATCTATAAAAACAATACAAATCTGTGATGAGGGCAAAAAATACAGACCCCTGGAAATTCCAGAGGTGGGATCAGGTGCCTAGGAGGAGTAAGCATCCCCTGTTGACCGGTCACACCCGCCGTGAGCCCCGATCAGAAAGACGGAACATTCGTTGTCAATTCAATATAAAAGCAAAGGTCTAACAATTGTTATGAAACACGTCAGCCAAATTACGACCCAATGATAGGTTATATTTGCTAACAAGGTCATTATTAAACTCAAAGATAACCTGCATATATTCTGCAACATCTTAATAAACAATCCCCACCATATTTTGTGCACTTTAAAAATCGATATCTTGCAGAGTTTTAAGTACATTAAATTTAATTATTTTCCTGACCTTTTTATTAAGTTGGATCATCTGACCTACGTAAGGGACAAAATCAGGTCCAGGAATCCCCAGGCGACGCCATAAACCAAATTTCCATTTTACGTATCTGTAAAAATGAATATATTAATACAAAGTTAAAATCATATTAAATATCATTTATATTAGATATATAACGTCTACCAGAGATTATAGAAATTGTGGTAGTGTATAATCGAAAGACTTGTTTGAAATAAACAATTGATTTACTTACATGTATAATAGCGTCAGTAATCCAATTATAAGTATAATCCATGCCCTGAAGCCCAGTAAGCCTAGAAGGTCCATTTTCTTGTGCTGTAAATAGGTAAATACCTGACTATATTCATGCAGCTACCTTTTTTATATCTTGATAGCTGGGTATTTCCTTTAACGACATATATTTCGTCTGAGGTTCACGGTCAAAAAACTAAAAACAAAATAGTCTCAAACTTTTGAATACGGGGATATCTGCACTAAACTGGAATGGTTTATTTAAGAGGTGGAACTAAAAATAAACTTTATGATTTTTTTTAGATTCATGAAAATGTTGGGCATACTAAATTTTAAGTGTGCTGTATTTGAGGGGGCGGGGGTGATGGGTGTGGTGATTAGACCCTGCACTTGATTTTTTGATTGCACTTGATCGACGACGTATTGTCAATTAACAATGATTGTTTCCATTCTTATGTCGATACGATATATCCCGGTGAGCTTGAGATAAAAGATGCCACAGAGTCTGACACATCTGTTTCATATTTGGATATTTTACTTGAAAAAGACGTTAATGGTAATCTAACAACCAAGCTTTATGATAAACGTGATGACTTTAACTTTTCAATCGTCAACTTCCCTTACTTATGCAGCAATATCCTTCATCACCTGCATACGGGGTATATATCTCTCAGTTGATTCGATACGCAAGGGCATGCTCTACGTATGTACAATTTCTAAAACGAAGTAAATTATTGACAAACAAGTTGATGAAACAAGAATATCAGCTGTCTCGTTTACAGTCATCGTTTCGTAAGTTCTATGGTCGATACAATGACCTTGTCAGCAAATACAATTTATCATTGAGTCAAATGCTGACTGACGTTTTTCATACTAATTGTTAGGCCATTATTTACACACTGAATTGTCTACGGATTTTTCCGTTATTTCCCGATCATGACAAGGAGCACAGGGCGGGTGTGACCGGTCGACAGGGGATGCTCACTCCTCCATGGCACCTGATCCCACCTCTGATGTTTGGAGGTCTGTGTTTGCTCTGCTCCTATTTTGTATTGTTTAATGGACTTTTGAGCTTGAATACTGTTCGTTATCTCCATATATTTCATTTCAAGTTCTTAATCCACTTTGAAAAGAAAGGGAAAAAAACTTGTGAACCTTGTTCAATGCCAATGTGTTTTTTGTACTAAAGCGTTCATTAAAAATTGCCTTACAGATTTCTAAAGAAATGTCTCCAAATAAAATTCAACTAAATTTGTGCATTTTAGTAAGAATATATAGTAAGATTTGATATTGTAGTGACAGCAGCAATTTCAAAATTTATGACACAAAGTCTGGCAGTGTAGACTTCAGGTTTATCTTGTGTATTCTGACGTTAAAATAAGCATTTTGTACAGTCATTGCTGAATTTTGATGGTGCATAGAAAATAAGTCCTGATTTCCGCTAAAATAATTTTCAAGACTGTACCAAAGTCAATTTAAAGCAATGAGTTCACAAAATTTGACTTTAAAAGATACTCAAAAAGAATGCGACATTTGGATTGTTGGGAAAAAACGTTAAACAGTATTGGAACATCAATAAGATTGATTGATTTTTATTGATTGATTGTACCTTTACAGCCTTTAGAAGATTAATTTACTCATATGAGACATCACCGTATGTCAGTGAAGGGCTTCAAATTTAGTCCTTTACTAGTCACTCAGGGCCATTGAGCAGTGAGGAATATTTATCGTGCCAGTGCTTGCCTTGACTTGGGGCCTCAGTTTCTTTAAAACGTCTTTCGCTTAGAAAAGAAACATTTCGTACTTTTTTTTTGTTAACTTAGGATTGTCTCGACTCACGTTTTAAACACACGAACTTCCGATCCGTGTATCATAAAGTTTACTTGTTAATTTGTCAACAATATTCATTCTAGTAAAACATCCAAATATGAAATGGAAAAGGTGCAAAATAACACACATTGTTCAATTTCATAAATCCTAGACACAATACCAAGCGCATATACACACCTGGAATCTGGGCAAAAACACAGACACCTGGACTCACCAAAGGAGGGATTAGGTGCCTAGGAGGAGTTAGCATCCCCTGTTGACAGGTCACGCCTGCCTTTAATCCTCTGTATTAATCAGATAATCAGAATAATCCGTAGACAAAATTTGCCTAAAAACAATTGTATAACAATTGGTGGATACATTTTAGTCAAAACACGACCCAAGATTAGGTTGTATTTGCAAAAAAAGGTCATAGTATAATGAGCAAAAGATTTGCATAATTCTGACTTTAAACAGGATTGCTGAAGGCCCCGTAACATCAACTTATTTGTCAGTAACCTGTCTGTAAATTAATTGTACAGAGAACATTCTCTTACTTACCAAATCAGATGGGAGATACAAACACCATTTGTAGGTGAAAGTGGATGATTTAAGGAATAACTGTCTAATTTTTTGGTTTCATGATGTGATCAATCGATTGGCTTGCGTGATAATTTGCATAAACACCGAAGGCGTTTATGCAGAAAATTATCACACAAGCCAATCGATTAATCATCGTCATAAAACCAAAAAATCTGACAGTTATTCCTTATATTTACATGCTCTTGATTATGCAAATTCATGTGCTACAAGCCCCGCTTCTGTCTCTATTTGTCCCGCCCCGCACGTGATTTTTTTTTCACCACGCCTATCGATGAACCAGTAGATTTATGTAGAAATAAAGTATTTTTACTATTTGAAATTTTATCTCGGACAAAGACATTGGAAATGTAAATATTAATAAATAAATAGGGGACGTTTACGATTCATTGTGATTCGATATATTTTCAACTCGAAATAAAAGATACCACACAGTCTGACAAATCTTATTCATATTTGGATACTTTACTAGAAAAAGACTTAAATGGTAATCTAACAACAAAATTTATGATAAACGTGATGACTTCAACTTTTCTACCGTCAGTTTCTCTTATTTATGCAGCAAGACACCATTATCACCTGCATATGGAGTTTATGTCTCCCAGTTGATTCGATACGCAAGAGCATGCTCTACGTACCAACAATTTCTAAAACGAGGCGAGCTAATGATAAAAAGAAGTTGATGAAACAAGAATCTCAACAGCTAGTCTCACATGAAGTCAACATTTCGTAAATTCTATGGTCGATACAATTATCTTTTTAGGAAATACAATCTGTCAGTAAGTTGAATGTTGACTTTTTAATACAATTTGTCAGGCCATTATTTTTAATAGCTTGCCTCGTTTTTAGAAATTGTTCGTACATAGAGCACGCTAATGCGTATCGAATCAAATCTTTAAATTCGAATCAACAGTTTAAAACTGAAACGTAATTTTGAAAAAAAAAAATCACCATTTTAAAAGGAACTTATATGGACTAAGCCCATATTTCTTTAATTACAATTTAGTAATGAGCCTTAGAAACAAAGACTATAAATTGCAAGCTTTTTCGACTTGAGCCATAACATATTGATCATGTACTTGTCTTTCTCATTCTTTTATCACTTTCAGTCGCTCTGTTGTGTCTTTTATTTCGGTTCCATGAGATATGTCGATTCAGTGTGTGTATGAAAATGTACGTTGCTATTTAATAAAATGCCGTCCATAAATATAAGTATCTGAATGTCTGATTAAAGGGTACAGCAAGAGTTTTTGAATAATTCCTCTTCATAACAATACAAGAACAAGCCAGCTAATAAGTGGGTATAACAAGATATACGGAAAAAATATTTCTGTCACACTTATGATATATATATATATATATATATATATATATATATATATATATATATATATATATATATATATATCTCAAGCACATTTTACAACAACTCTTAAACTAACATAACTGCCCTAAGTGAAGAAATATTAATATAGAAAGCAAAAAAGAAATTCACTTTTATAAGGATACCCACTTCCTTATAAAAGTGAATTTCTTTGTGCTTGCTATATATATATATATATATATATATATATATATATATATATATATATATATATATATATATATATATATATATATATGACAGAAATATTCTTACACGAGTGTATGATACTTACTGAATTAAAAAGATTTGGTATTGAATCTCTAGAGGGAAAATGACAAGGTCAAGATGTATACTTCCCATATCCCCGCGCAATACCATACCTGATCCCACCATTGGTGTTTTCATGGGTCCTTGTTCATGTTGTTTTCGACACGCTCTCTAATTGAATTGCTAATAGACATAGGCTTTAAAAGTATGAACTCTGTTCCTTATCATCACCTCTTCCCTAATACTTGATTTTTTATTTCTTAGTTTTTCTATGAATATTCATGATTATTCTATTTTATATTATTGATATACTGTAAATGTATGTTATTTGGCATGTACAATATTCGGCGGAAATTGATTTCATTTAGGACTTTCTAGATGTGCTACGAGTTTAAATACACAAGACGTTTACCTAATTACTTAATTTAGTGGAAGTGGCTTGCCGCGAAAGGAACTACATTTTGTAGAATACACGACCAAATGTTATACATTTACAGTATTCATGGAAAAAATAGGTTAAAAACTAGAGGTGGGATTCCCGCTTACTCAGATCACATTTGAGCACAATTAAACCTGTAAGGTTTGCGATCACAGGGAGATAGCTCTTATGAATCACTTAAGCGTTTGAAACCGGCGAAATTTAAAGCAGCGATACTAAGCATTCAATCGCTAATGAATTTCGTCTGACATTAACATGATGGGAACCAACAAAGGACATTTTCAGCAAAGGACAATTTAAAGTGCAGAAATCTCAGAAGAACTAAGCGGACAAATGTAACGCAATAAAAGAGGACTATGGTAACCATGAAGGTTATATAATTTTATTGCAGCCCGGAGGACCGGGCTGCTCTATACAAGATTACAAGATTTATTAGTCCAATTTGGGCCCCCGGAGGAGCAAAAAAGATTTACAAACATGAAACAAAGAAGGAGGAAGATCCAAATGATAGAACAAACATGATCTTAAATATAATGAGCAGTGCTTAATTGTATAATCATTGATAAATGCATCTACAAGAGATGTATACGAGTATACATATTGTAATATAATAATAACATATAGTCAAGTAGCTGGAAAGATACATATATGCATATCAAAGAACAGAAGAGATGATATATTGCCATTCCTACATGTATATACATCCCCAAATATATTTAAATTTTTCAGTTAAGGTAGATTATCAAGGAATCTAGCAAGTGATCTTAGGATCTCAGGATCTTCATTAGTCATGAGCCAAAGAAATTGATTATCATATGATAGGGACTGAAAATTTTTACATTTATTATTACAAATATTTATAAGTTCAAGTCTTTGTACACTAAAATGAGGACATACAAGGAGAAAATGAATTTCATCCTGAATCTCCTTGTGATCACAAAGGGAACAAAATCGTTCATCTTTAGGTATTTTTTGATATCGTCCAATTTCAATTTTAAGCCTGTGAGCTGATATTCGTAACCTAGTTATGACTGATCTATGTTGATTGTTTGTTAAAATATCTAGATAGGGTTCAAAACAAAATTTAGTCTTTAGGCATGTGAAGGTAGATAATTTACCTTCTTTATGCAAATTCCTGTCTTTTTCCCATGTAATTTTATAGAAGTTAAGTAATATTCTTTTCAAGTTTATTTTAAACCGTGGGAGTGACATACCTAAAACATCACTAAGTTTAATATCAATATGGTTAAGTAAGAAGTTAATACAAGAATACCATGAAGTAACTCCATTTTGGTGTAGTGTTTTGGAACATTTATAAGCCTCACTAAGTAAGGGAAATTCCCCATCTAGATTCTCTAATCTATGCCAATATAACAACATATTTTTAATGACATCAAAGTGTACATTCAATCGTCCTAGCTCAGATCTTACAGCAAAGTTGCTGCTTTTACTATGAACCACTAATAAATGTTTGTAAAATTTAAGATGCAAACTTTCGCCTTCTAAAGTTTGGTATATTTTATCTAATGTTATATTTGGATTTCTCTTAAATTTGGAAGTTGATGGGTCAAAAAAAAAAACCATAACTCTGAACCGTACAGGATAATGGGTTTAATAGTGTGGTCAAATACATTTAAAGCAGTTTTAACTGATGGATTAAATGTAAGAAAGTCTTTTTGAAGTTTGAAATAGGCTTCCTTTGCTTTATTACAACAATCATTTTTAGCGCTAGTTAGTGTTCCAGATGCATTAACTGTCAGACCCAAATACTTGTACTGTTTAACACATTCGATATTGTTGTTATTCAGATGGAAGGGGATTTTGATGTGCTTGCCAGATGAATTGAAGACTATAATTTTGTTTTCTGTGTATTAA